TATAATAAATTGTAATAATTTTGAATTTTTTAATAGCAAATCAATATATATTTTACAAAAATTATGATAAAGAAAACCCTCACAAACATTTATTAAGTATATTAATATTAGAAAAACAATAATTTGTAACTAAAAAACTATTCCCAAGTGCAAAAAGCATAAACTAATAAACCAAATATTACAATGGTTTGATAAATAAGCAAAAACGTTCAACGTCAAATAAACCAAATGCTATTGTGTTAAATTAAACGGTAACAGCAATTCATTTAGATATATTTTAGTTTTAAAATATTTTTTAAAAATATGACGAACTTATCCGAGAAACGCAACCGTAGATATCAAATATTCCAAAAACTGCAACGGTTCGTCAATTATACCAAATGTTGCAATAGTTCATCAAATATACTAAAGATAACAATGGTTCGTAAATTTTTCCGCATATACAAAGATTTGAATTTTTAAAAACGAATATAAATTGTTCAATGTATGAAAAAACAAATTTAACGGGTCAAAAATTTATATTTGAGTAATATATTCTTTTTTTTTTAATATCATCAATACTTAATAGATCAAAAAGTTAAGAAATATACATACTCTAATTTGATTTTTTGAAACAAATATTTATAATAGGCGGCGGGTTAGATATAATGTATTATATGATGAAATGAGCTATGATCCTTATAACTATTTGAATATTTATATTTAATTTCATATATATATATATATATATATATATATATATATATATATATTTTTAAATTCATAATTTTACATACTACAATAAAAAAATTAAAGATTTTAATTTGAAACATTTAAAAAAAGTTTAATTTAATATATTAAAGAATATCATAAATATTTAATAGATTAAAAAGATAAAAAAATTATAAATACAAATTTGATTTTAAAAAGATATGTTTAATATATTTATAGTAGGTGGTGGGTTAAAAGTAATGTATTATATGATAGAAAGTTATGATCCTTATAATAGACGACATTTTAAGATTTATGATGAGATGAGTTAAATAAGGTTTGACACTTCTAAATATTTGAAAATTTAATTCTGCAAGCAATTTTGGAAATAATGAATAAAAGATTGTGCCACAATATTTTCATAGGGATTGTAAACTGAAAATATAGACTCCACACACGGATCGAGTTTGGTATTATTACATACCAAATATATGTTCATAACATATTCGATTATGTGAATAATTGGTAAATTCCGTAATTAGCTCAACCAAATCTCTATTTCAACAACCAATGAATTAGAATTTGAAAAAATAATTTCCTAAATTAATTCAAAGTAATAGCTAAATTTTTTAACTAATTCAAAATAATCTACGTTTTAGATGCGATTCATTTATGATATTTTGATTTTTGATCTAACTAAATTATATACACTCTCATTTTGTGGTTGTTAACATAAATTAACTCATTGTTCAAACAATATTATTTTTTTTGAAAATAATATTATTTCCCATTTTCATATCTTTAAAAAATATATCCATAATTGAGGATTACAGAAAAATAAAAATATATTCATTCTAATATGATATATATATGGACTGACATAAAAAAAATTAATATTTTTTACTTACTATTATAATATATCACGATTTTATTCTATAACTATATAATATATAAATTTCGTAATAAATGAAATTCAACCCGTACTGTAGTACGGGTGATGATCTAGTAATAGTATAAAGTATAAACCAATATCAAAATCATAGTAATAATTAATAAAAATAATATTGCATAGAAAAAATATATACCAAATTTATGAACGAGAAAACGAAATATGTATAAGAAAAAACACATTCATAATGCTCTCTTATCGCTTTCTTATCTTTTAGAGAGAGAGAGAGTCTTCTTTCCCGATTTTAATCGGTGAATCTATTTCAGCTTTTGTTTCTGGTTTCTACCAGATTGTATATATTCGCTTTATGCGATTCAATAATTTCCAGTTAGATACTGGACTTTTTGGTTACTAGATCTTCTTCCATCTGCGGCTCTAATCATCGATGTCTCCGTTTATCTCCAAATTCTCTCCGTTTTCTCCAATTACTCGTGGAATAATATCTTCGTCACTCTCCTTTTGCTCAAGATATCTGAGTAAAGAAGGATTCAAGTCTACATCAAGTTGGGTGTAGCCGGTGGTGGAGCCTCCTCGATGTTGGCGTTTTCCGGAGAAATTGTGAAGCGTTCTTCATCTAAATCCGGCAGATTTCGATGTTATGTTTAGGTTGGTTTGAAGATCGGCAGAAGGAAAGAGGATACAAATCGATCCATAGCTGATTGGCGGCAGCTAATCGGAATTTGGTGATCTTCCGGCGAACTGAGACGGCGGCGCTTCATACCAGGACGCGTGGCAGAAGAAGAACACGTGTCTTTAGCTAAATCTTGCTGGCACTTAATGTTTATTTGTTTACTAGTATTATGGCCCCTGCTTTGCAGGACAAAACTATATGAAGGGAAATTTTATACTTTAAATTTAATAATTTGTGGACATGAGTTTTTTGGTTTTAAAAGCAAAGATCAAAAATAAGAGGTTGCTGAATCTATGAACCCATCTAACGTGAACATAATCTTGTTTGGGAACGTGGAAATCAAAGCAATTCCTCATCTCATGGGCTCTTCTTATCGCTGTGTGAATAATCCTTCATGAAAACCAATCTTTAACACTTACTGTATTCAGTAATCGCACTATTCATTATAGAAAACATTAATGTAAGAATTTTAATTACAATAAGAATCTTAACCATGATATTTGTAAATTTTTTATGTAAACTCATAATCTCATAATCTTACAATAAGAATGAAGTGCAAAAAAGAATTAAGTAATAAACATGAACATTTCAGAATAAAATTCCGACTCCATTAGAGAACTGGAAAATACCAAAAACTTATGGAATTTTGCACATTCTTTTATAAAACCGTTTTTAGATTTTGTAGATATTAGTTATAAACTAACTAATAAGAATAAGAATAGTTGCTTATGAGAAGCATCTTACAAATTCGTTAACGGTCTGTCATTCTTTGCTTTCCGATTATGCTCTCTTGGTTGTTCTTGCATTTTCTATTTTATATACAAAGAGGTAAAACCAGAGATCCAATCAGAAATACATTTACCATAACCAAAATAAACAAAAAAAAAGAATATCTTTAAGGAAGCGCGTAATAATGGTAAACAATGAAAAACTTAAAATGAAAAACATCTAAGCGATTGGGTCTAATTTTCCAAATAATGTTTGAAATCTAAGAAGATGTGAAGGAGAATACCTTGGCTGCGTGCATAAGAGGATTAGATGGAGAGATTGACGTAATTTGTGGATGAAAAAAGAAAAAAAAAATGAGAGACACATGTCGATCATGAAGAAGAATCGTGTTGGGTATATAAGACTTGAGTTTTGATAGAAATGTATGAAACGATTTAAAAAGAAAAAAGGAAAAGGAGGTTGAAACTGGAGAGATTGTGGAAAGTGGAAGCGATTAAAGGAGGTTAAATGGAATGAAGTAAACCATAACTGTATGAAACGAAAAAATAGTTCTCGTTAAAGTAGCGAATAAACAAAACAATTTTTTTTTAAGAATAATAGAATTGTGGATTATAAAGTGAAAGAGCAAAATTTGAGAGTTTTGCCACGTGTCAGAAATAGAGTGTTGCAGTTTTTGTTTAAGTTACTGTTGATCTAGTATAATTAGATTTCATTTTGATTTAGTTGGGCCGTTTCTTTTTGCTTGTATTTCTCTGGGCCTTCTGTATTTTGCCCTTGGGCTTTTTAATGTCACTACTTGGCCGACAAAAAAAAAAAAAAAAAACACAATCATAATGTGTTTGCAAATTGCAATGTGTGAATGTCGGAATGGGACAAAGCCCGAAAAAAAAAAAGGATTATAATAACAAGGCTTTGGCGTGAAAGACTTCATTTTTTTAATGATTGTTGACAACTTGATTGTATACTTTTTAGTAGTTAACGGTTTACATGTACAATCTACTCCATTAGAGTTTGATTTCGATAAATCACAGTATTAGACTAGCATATCAGATTTGTCTGAATTTGCTCCTCCCATTTGTAATCAGTTAAGATATGAAAGAAGAATTTGTTTGACAAAAAAAATTAAAAAATGACTAACTTGTGACCATGAGCGATTTATTGTGAGCCCAACTTGATATGATCTTCATAAAAACATTCATATTGAAAGCTAAGTTTCTCCTTTCCCATATTATCATTCACATTGCTTATCTTATCTGGTTATAATTTTATAATGAATAAAATATAACACATATATCATTGTGTTATATTTTACAATATATTACTGTTTTTGGTACTTTCAGTAGTTACAATATATTACTGTTTTTGGTACTTTCAGTTTGTATGTCTGATTTGTTTTAATTAATTGATATATGTTAAAAAGAAATCATATGTTTTGTCCAGTCAATATTTTATATTTATTTCATATTTAAATTACATAATAAAATTTCAGTGATTGTATTTTATCAAAATTATTGTCTTTTAGACTTGTTTAGGAGAAATTGGATATAATTCTTTTATGAGGTAGAGAAAGTATAATTATGCATGACTAGATTTTAAAATTTATTACCTATGATAAAATTATGCATGACTTATAAAGAGCGTGAATTGCGAATTAATATTGCACAAGCTCAGAGGCAGCTTCGTCGTGCCGGAATCATACCTTCCATAGGTTTGCTTCCATCCAGCTCACAGACAACCCATCGAAGCAGCATATAGTTTCACCCTTGTCTTCTGGTCTTCCAAGTTGTAATAACTAAAACTCTTTTTTCTGCTCTTCCAAGTTGTGATATTTAAAACTCTTTTAGTTATCTTCTTCTTCAAAGTTGTAATAAGAGGTTTGATCTAATACAATACATGTCTTGTTTGTCTATACTTTGCAGACTCCACTATCAATCGAAGGTTTTACAAGCTCTCTCTCTCACTCTCTATTACAGATTATATACGTACTTTGAAGTAATATAAAGAAAACGTAAGGAGGAAGAGAGTGCACAAACTTGAACTCTGTTTTTTCTTTTCTTTTTGTAACTTAAAACGTTGAACTCTTAACATCCCTTTTTTTTTTTTGTCAACAAAAAAAAAAAAAAAAAAAAAAAAAAAAAAAAAAAGAATGTGCAAAATTCTTTGCTCTCTTGGTCGAAGAAGAGGGCTTGGACGACCGTTGTGGTTAACCATGCATCTGAATCATTGACAATATGAGTATATATTTAAAACATTATATAAGATGTTCAAATATATTAATATTATAAGATTTTTTTATAAATCTAAAATTAAATATAGATACATGCATATATTATTGTTTATAGTATAAATGTGTTTTTAGTAGAATATATACATCAAAGGGAAATATCATTTCGATAATATATGCATGAATATTGTTTTTAGTAAAAATATATACACGAAAGGGAAATATTAATTTGATAATATATGATACCATATGGGAAATAGAATGTGTTGTGTATTATGGAGACTATGACGACCGACTTATAGAGACATAGTATCACAAACATAATTATTGAGAATATTTTGTGAGTAATCTCAATTACTGTGATTGACGATATGATTGATTTGGTTTCCTTATCTTCTACAATGAATATATATATGTGTGTGTGATACCACTACTCTTATTGTTTTCATATTTTGAAAACTCTAATTATCATAATAAAATGACTAAATTCACCTTTTTTGCTCTCTTCAGCATCCTTATTCTAGGTTCTTTTTCTTTACCATCTCTAATTCTATAATAAAACCATGCAGTTTTGTACATATGAGAAGGTGATAATTTTTTGTTTTAAATAATATTTTTACAGGGTTGATGGTGAATAAGATTCAAGGACAAGAGGGACTATGTCGTATGCTTTTTCCACACAAAGATTGTGGTACTGGTGCTCACTCGTGTGCTGCTTTGTGCCTACAAAAATGGAAGGGAAGAGGCCAATGTTTTCCGTCAGATGATTCAGGAATTATATATTGCCTCTGCAGTTTTCAATGCAGATCTTGAATTTTTTTCACTTTATTTTGAGATCTATATCAACTAAAGATGTAATAAAGAAAAAAAATTCTGGTAAAATTCAAACCTTAATCCTTATTTATAAACTCAAATCGATATATAATCTCGTTTAATTGTAAAATAAAATAATATATTAGTGTAGTCTATAATTGATTTAGTTTAATTGTTTTATTTTAATATTACAAAATATTTTAATTAGTTTATTTAGATGATATGGCTAATTTTAATTGGTTAGTTAAGACTTAGGAGGGGGTGTATAAGATGGGTTCACTCTTAGAAATAAATCTACGATTCTACTTCAAAGTAGAAGTAGATTTTAACATTTATTATCTACCAAATTTCATCATTAAATATCTAAAAACAAATTTTATAATGTTGACTAGTTTTTGTTTTTTTTTTTTTTGAAATTTGACTAGGGTTATATTCAATTATAGTTGACTAGATGACAAAAATAAAAACTAGAGTTGACTAGATTTGTATCTAATTGTGTGTGATATTTCAGTGTATACACAATTACTATCGTCATTATTTGTAATTCAAAAATTCCAATTATCACACACAAACATGACTAAATCCACAATTTATGCTGTTTTCATTTAGACCTGCGTAACTGCTCCTTGTGCGGGACTCTGGATACCTATAAAGCTCCTCTGGGCAATCGTATTGGTTCCAATCAGCATTCCTAACCTCCGTCTTCTCCTGAGCGTCTGGACTGCACTGAGTGCCTGGACTGAAAGGATTCTCTTTCGCCATTTAGAACTTCCCCGTGGTAGCATAGCATAGTAGTGCAAGTGAAAGTAAATAATCAAAGACGTTCCACCTTGGATGTCAGAAAGAACCTCTTGGAATAGATCTTACACTTCTGGTTTACCGGCAAAACATAAGAAATTCTTAAATTATTTTATTTTATTTTTAAGAATCGTCTATGTAACAGTTCTCATAATTTGCAATAAATAATAAATTTAGACATCAAAAAAAAAGTACTTTAAATATATAAAATTCTTACAGCTATATACTCCCTCTGTTCCTAGATATTTGCTTCTTAATATATGTGAAAACTCTAGAACATCAATCTTCTAGGAATAGAGTGAGTATATGCTAAGACCACCATTAACGCAATATACCCTCACTTCTTATAGTATTAAAGAAATAGGAAAATAATTGCACAGTAATTTTGGATGCAGTACTCGAGTCTTATGGAAGAAGCTTCTTGGTGGGGATGTTAACGTGACGTGGCGCTGGTTGGTGCACGATACATTCGAAATTTGGTATCACTATTCATAATTATTATTTCATAGGTAGTGGTTTTTTTTGTTTAACACCTGAAACGGTAATTATTAACCCAAGCGTCGGGTCAAAACTTAACCCAACATTGGTTTTGATGGTTTTTGGCTTTTTGCAGATTCTGTTGTCTCGGTTTGATCGTCGTTAACTTTCTTTTCAATGCTTAATTTTTTTTTTTTATGCTAATAATTTTTGTTGGTTTATAATTTTCAATAGTGAATTAGTTAACATTTTATCATATTATCTTTATATGAGATGATTAATTATTAGATAGCTTAATTATGAATTATAAGTTAGGTAAATAACTACGGAATTATATTTTTAATGTTTTTTTGTTTTATAATAATTTGGAATTATATTTTATGTTTCTTTTTATTTTCAAATCAATTTTAGTATAAGTTTTTTATGTTTTCAATTTATAAGTTAATTTTTTAATTTTTAAAAAATGTTAAATCTATATATACATTTTTGGATGACTTTTAGCAAATAAATCCTGGAGTTGGAATGTATTTACGGATGAATGCCATTGGCATTAATTATTTAAATTTGAAAAATATTAATTAAAGATATTATCAACACGATTTCGAGAATCATAAATTCATATCTTCCTTAATTACTGAGTCATTAATGTGATAATCTTTAGGAAATATTTCTCTGTAAAAAAAAAAAATCCACATTAGTGAAGGCATTAAAATCGACACTAACAATTAAATTATTTAGATATTCAATTATTTTAAGATTCTTATATCTTATTTGATATTTTTTTTAATATCTCATTCTTTAATTACTGCGTTTAGAATTTATTGGTTGTTACCTATTTTTTGGTGAAATTTATTGGTTGTTACTTAATAAGTAATTATGGTGCGTTTATTTTAGTTAATATCTAATTTAAAGGATTTGTTTTCTTTTATTATTAATAAACGAATAACATGTATAGAAATAAAAGATTTTTCTTGCGACTCCATAATAAAAATATTAAACTCTTATTTTCTACATTTCTTACACATAATATCCTCTTATTCAATAACAAAAAATATATATTACATATTTTTAAAAATATTTATAATATTTAAATTATATAAAAAGTTTGTAATATTAATATTATTTCAACTCTATACAAATTTAATATATATGTATATATATCTTATGGGAACCATTTAAAAGAAATTTTTAAATTGACTTGAATTATATAGCTTTTAAATTAAAGTATTATTAAAAAGAAAAATAACTAAATG